TTTTTTTTTTTTTTTTTTTTTTTGGTGGTACTGGGGGATTGAACTCAGGACCCTGTGCTTGCCAGGCAAGTGTTTATTCTACTGAACTATCTCCCTGAGCTATCTCCCCGGCCCAGTAAAACTTATTTGTGAGACAAGCTGGTGAGTTTGCAAGATTTGCTTACAAAACACTGAGACAGTGATGAAAGGATGGGAGAGCTGAGGCAAACTGGGATGGAACAGGGCCTAGGGCCAAAGGCACCAGCAGGAGGCAGAGGCAGGGAAGGCTCCTGCCCTCGGTTCTAGTCTGCATGTGGTGCCAGAGGGCAGACCTGTGGATAAGAGGCTCTCCCTAGATCAAAAGGCCCAGTAAGTGCTTGCTGCCAGCACCCACACCCTACCCCCAGCTCTTACCCCCCACCCCCACATCAGCTGCCTACAGAGAAATCCTCAGGAATGCAGAAAGCAGCTTAGAATACAAAAACAGGCATGCAGAGCTTTACCTACCAGGTATGATCTTGTCAGGTCCATTTCTTGAGGTTATTTCTGTGAATTCTCTTAATATTTTTGCAGCCTTCTTTGCTTCTGACTTCAGATTTGAAGGTATAGGGTTATTCACTGAAAGATGTTTTTCAAAAGACATTTTAATGAAAAAATCTAAATAGAAGTTAGGATAGGAGGAAAATGTTCAAACGGAGAGGAGAATAAGCAGGGGGGAAGAAAACGGGAAAAGTCAAAAAGTGAGAAAAGCCGGAAAATATGGGAACAAAGCTTTGTAAATGAGGGGGGAGGAAGGGGTTGAAGGGAGGATAAGAAGTTGTGTCATGTACAGGTACAGATTCTCTATGATGAATGTCATCATTATGTATATCTAAAATATACCAACAAAATCTGACAGGTTCTGGCCCTAGTATAAATTGCTGAATTATTATGGTGGTCATTGAATATGGCTGAAGCCCCTAAAACAACAGCTTCTCTTTCCAGAGACCACCTCCCCCCTTCTTCTCCAACTCAGCCAGGGCGCAATTTCCTTTCACCTTTCCCCTGCTGCCTCAGGGGCGACCCCAGTCAGCTCCTCAGGTATGGCCGGACATTCCCCTCAGAACTCCACCCCCCGGCAAAAGGCCACAAAAGCCTCAGCCTCCCTTCCTTACAACTTAGAGAATCCCTTATCTTTCCATTTGCCCCAGATTCTCTCCGTGTCCTCAAATATAATAAAGCCCCTTTCCCTTTTTCCTTCTGCCTGTTTCTCTGCTGTGACATTATCAGAAAAAAACCTATCAAAATCTAATTTTAAAAAGATATTAGGAACTTACTTCTGTTTCATTTGTCTCAGACACAAGTAGTAATAAATGGTTTGCCACTAGACAAAGGAAAGTACTTGGAAGTCCTCAATTACGGGATATTTTATCTTTATTTTCCTACAACATCAAATCTATTCAGGTTAGGAAATGAAACCCTCAAAATATCAGAAATAAAATCATGGAATCCTATAAAGATCATAAGCAAAACTAGTCCATCATCTCCGTGATCTATCTTCTACTGGTACTGAAGTCATCTGAACACTAGTGAAGAGTAAGCTGTCTAGGATAGATAATATAAAGTTAATACATTAGCTAACCGGAAATATTTGAGCTGGCTGCAGCCGGGCTTGTAGAGGGGAAGATTATGAAATACCCAGGAACTGACTGGTTAGTACAGGAACACAGGTCGGCTGGCTCCGGCAGGGATCTCCACTTGGACAGCATGCACACAGCCCCTGGGCTCTGAGGCATGCTGGGGAAAGTAGGCTACTCATCACACAAGGAATTCGATCAAAAGAGCTAGTAAGGTCTAGCGGCTGTAGTGCACAAGCTGGTGAGGACCACGGCTGAGGATTCCTTCCTGGACCTGTCTTGCCTCACATGTCTAGGCCCGGGCATGTTTTCCTGTTTCTGCTCATTTCTGGTGCAGTCTGATGATTGCTAGATGCTACGACTATTACATGCTGAGTGCCTAGGTTCTGCTGACCTCTTCCAGACAGCAAGAGAGGCAGTGGGTGACTCACAGGCTAGCGCCATGCCTCCAAGGCCATTCACCACTTGTGTGGAGACCCTTCCAGGCCCTCGGCTTTGGGGCTCACCACTGCTCTGAGATGGCACAGCAGGTGGCAGCGTGGGCTCCAGAAGGAGGCATGCCTGCACACCATGTGTGTGATCTACTTGGAAAAGGGGCCTTTTTATCTTATCTACCAACATAATTCAGTTATGATATTGATTATCCAACTGGGTCCTGATCCAAGCAGGAACATCCCTCTAGGAGACAGAGGGAAAGGCAAGGAAAATATAACCCACACAGAGCCACCAACAGAAAGTGTCTCCCTGCAGCAACAGAGGGGAGCCAGCCTGACCTACACACCTCCCTAAGGGATAAGCAGTAACTTGGAATCATATTATAATTGGTATCAGTAAAGTCCATGTAGGCATCAGTCACCCAGGTGGATAACCAGGGCATCTGGACAGCTCACCCATCCCTTCCCCAAAATCTCTTTGTTCTTTCCATGTGCTCTTTCTATGTGACCTGCTTCTCTAATGGATCAGTATCAGCTCAGTGGCTAAACTTGTAATCATACTGGCTGATTATAGTTTGACCCATGTTGTACCCACCTTGGGATTCTGCTCTATAAAACATTCCTGGAGGAGCAGCCTCAGGGGCAACCACTTTCAGGTTCCCTTCTGTTTTTTAGGACCTATCTCTAATAAATCTTTACCACTCTTAATCTCTGTTGTTTCTTAGAATTCATTCTTTGATTTCTAGGGGCACAGTATATCTAACATCTAGCAGCCCAGGAGTTCTAGTTCCCCATATCAGTGATTTCAAATAGTATACTAGTGATGGAACCTAATGCATTTAGATTAGACCAGCAATCAAGGAAAAAGATAGTGTGGGACATTTCCAGTTTCTCGTTTTTTTTTTTAAATTATTTATTTATTTATTTATTTTATTTATTACATTTATTTATTGTATGTGTGTGTGGCCAGCTCAGCCCACCAGGGGGCGGGGCTGGCTGGCATGTGGTGCTGGGGGATCGAACCGCGGTCCCTGTGCTTTGCCAAGCTTGTTTCAAGTAGGTGCTTTAGACCACTGAGCCATCTCTCCAGCCCTCCAGTTTCTCACTTAACAATTTATTACTGTATTTGTATGGTTGATAGATTTTGAGAACTCATGGGATTTGGCTTCTTTTCTGTTTTGACTGCTAAAGGACAGACAGGACTGAACTAGACAAGTGAGAATAAACTAGAAAGCTGCCTAACACTAACTCATCTGTTCATAAGGTACACATATCAACTGCCCTCTGCAGTATGACTAGATTTTCCTGTTTCCTGCCTTTTTGCAGGTACCCAAGGTGAGGACACACAGTTAGTGCCCATTTGCATGTTTGACTCCCTATTAGAGAGTCGCCGTATGTGGCTGTCCCAGGAGGCAGCTGCCCAGGAGGACTGTGAGTCACTGCTACATCAGGGCAGTGGAGATGGGAGGCTTCTCTTCACTGCCTTTCTCAGTTACTTCCTGGGTAAAGAGGACTCTGAGGACAAGGCCATAGGAGGACAAGACCCTGGACCGCCTTGTCAGGAAACATGCACCTGAAGATATGGGACCTGGGCTGCACTAAGCAGGGAGCTCAAGGGCTTATCATCGAGAAAACTGTACCCTATAAGCAGGAATGCTAAAGCTTAAAGACATATTTCTCTGTGTTACTTGCTTAAGAATAAAAAAGAGAAAGTATCTGTAATTTTCATTTTTTTATCTTAGGCCTAGAATTGACTAGTTTTTTCTTTAAAAAAAATCTGCATTCTCATCAGTTTGGAGGTGGAAAAATGAGTAAAACAAATCAAATATAATTATGCTGTAAGACAATACTTTACCTCTCAGTATAGAGTACTCACAATACACTATTTGCAAGCCCTTCTAAAAAGACTAAAACTGTAGTTTTGCTTTTCTACTGAATGTTGGAAGGATAACAGGATGTACAGTATTTGCCATTCCAAGTCCGCCTATTACCACGTGCTCAGTATAGTAGGCTTACATCCTACACCTCCCCCAGGACCCTGCTTTCTCCTTCTCTGTCCACCCAGAGTGGTACTGCTCTAGACCCACACGAGAGGTGCAAACCCTGGCAGGCTAGGAAGGGAGCCTGGCCTAAGCATTGTAAGTATGGCAAAAGACAGGAGAAGCTGTGTGATGCTTCAGGCAGGACAGGCTTGGAAGAGGGACTGAGCCCCCACAGAAGAGTACAGCTCTAGTGGGTCAGCCTGGCAGGCCCTACGCAGGTGGTCAGCACCAGGGTGGGTACATTTGGGCTCTGCTGACCCAGGACCTGACTTTTAGGGGAAGAAATCCAGAGGGATTTCTACAAGGCCCCCTGGACCCCTGCTGAGGCAACTGACTTTAAGGTGTCTTGTTTACCCTAGAGTTGTGTGGCCCACATTCTGAGAGAGGCAGCAACTCAGAACTGGCCTAACAGGGCTGGCCAGCCTCCACCCAGGCTACCAGGTGCTATAGCCACCCCTGCTCCCCACCCAGGTCAACAGAAAAGAAAATGTGCTGGGTCTGCAGGAGAGTCACTTTAGAGAAGGGCGGTGATGACCGTGCTCTACTCAACGGGGGCTGAGCTGAGCTTCGAGCTAGTGAGGTGGGCTTTGTGCCTGCCTAGCCAGCAGACAGGCAAAGGAAGCCCTGGACCTGTACTATGGCTAGCTAGCAAGGATCCCTGCTTTCAGTCCTAAAGGAAATTAAAACTAAAGCACAAATATTTGGCAAAAAGTAGCTTTAACTGAAAAGTTGGAGGAAAGATAGGAAAGGTCGTCAGGTCAGGTGGCACTCTGATCCAGGCATGCAAATATGAAGGCCAGTTGTCAAGGGTTGGCCTGTGGGCAGCAGCAGTCCAGGGTCATAGCTCTGGAATCCTCATGGCTGAGGGGTGGTGTCCCTTCCAGGAAAAGACTGTCTCTGTATATGGAGGTCTTGATCAGGTGGGCTCCACTTTTCCCGAGGTCCAGGTGAACATGGACTCAGGACAATGGCTGGAGACTTTAGATCACAGTTGAAAGTCCCTGGAAATCACCCATCCTGGTGTCCCCAAACTTTAAAGGGCAGAGATCATATAAAGTTAGGGCTAATTTACTTTGTTTTACCAGCCCCTAGACAGACACTCCCCAAGTGATTAACACATCCATATAAACCGCTGAGAAGGGATTTGACTCAAAGTTTTAAGGTAACCAAAGATACACAAGGATTCAGCTTTGTTATGCTTTTAGTTACCCATGGGTATCTGTAGGTGCAAGTGAAGAGTCACTGTTCAGAGGCATGAGGGGCCTTGACTATCCCAGAAAACACACACACACACACACACACACACACACTACACTTTTAATGAGCAGCCCAGGAATTTATCTGTCCCCCACCTGTGTGGTGCTCCTGACTATGTTAAGACTGCGTCAGAACCACATGCTGGTTTTAATGATACAACCAACCATGGAAGTTCATCTTCTCTTTTGTTAAAGGACTGCCAATATAAAATGCTAAGCTTCCTTTCTGCCCGCAACTCTGTATGTACGATATCTGACCCTTTGCAGAAA